ACCCACGGTCGGGGGGCCAGTATCCCCTGCCCATCAGTGGGGGCCATGGCAGTCTGTGGCCGAGGCACAGGTGCAGAGGTGAGGGTTGGGGGTGCCCTTCTCTGGATCAAAGAGTTCAAACCGCAAACATCGGGCTCTACTTCTGCTGTGTCTGTTCTCACTGGGGAGATTTTCTTTCCATAAACATGAATCACATCCAAACTGGCTTTGTCTCCGGGACTCTGTCTCCTGGGAACTGAGGCAGTTTCCCTCTGAGGGCACGTTGTCTCCATGGGGACCTTGGGACGCTGCCAGCCTGGGACTGCTGCTCGCTGAGTCTCAGCCGCGTGTCCCCAGGCCCACGACACGGGCGCTGGCTCCCCAGGCCTGCGTGGCCACCAGCGTGGTTGGGCCTTCTCAGGGGAGTCTCCATCAAGCTCTTGTGTAGACCAGGGAGGGAAAGAGACCGACGGGGAGAGGGGAGACTAAAGGTCTTAATTCAAGGACCTTGGATTATAAGAGGGAATAGCACAATATTTAAAAAAACAACTGGTTTTTCAACTACTGTGTCTGTGAGATGACTGGCATTTAAGCCAATGTAGAAGGACAAAGAGAAGATATGTCCCGGGACATTAGGGAAGGCTGTCGTCCCTGGGGGGCCTCCCTGGCTGTGGGGCTTGCTCACCGTCCTTCCTGGTGGCCGCACTTCAGCAGCAGAGGCAAGCTGACGTCTCTGCAACCTTCACTTCCAGGGGGCGCACTTCTTTGATTGTCCTCCTACTTGGAAGGACAGAGATCTTGAATGACAGGTCGGGGCCTGGCCGTCCAAGCTCAGCCGCCCACCGGGGACGTGAGCCTGGTGTATCTCCCCAGCTCTGTCCATTTTTCCCAAGTGACAAGTGGCTCCATGATAACCAGTGAGAAGCTCTTCCTTACAGGTGACGTGGGAAAACGTGCCTCTCCTAACTCCACTCGGGAAGGGCGGCCTCGGGAGGGCAGTGTGTCCTCAGGCCACTCGAGAGCTGCAGTGCCTGGAACCCCCAGCCCTTCCCTCCACGGGACCCTGGCAGCCATGTGGGGACTTCCCCCTTCGGCTCCAGCTCTGGTCACCTGACCCGACTGGGGCACACTGGCCAGCGCTGGCCTGGCTCCCGGAACCCCTCCCCGCTGGCCTGACCTGCATGGAGCCGGCCGCTCCTGCCCGCCGTGCGGGGCGCTGCTGCGCGCGTGCCTTTCAGCGGGAGGCAGGGCGCACCTGTCTCGGGGAGCAGACACAGACTCCCTCGGGTTTTGTCTGAAGTGTGTCTGTCTCACTCTCCACCGGGCCTGGGGGTCTAGGCCGAGTTGCCTCTTTTCCTCTTAAGCACTGACGGCCTCTTCCCTTGCCCCCTGATGACAACCCGGCCTTCATTCCCCTCTCTGACGTCATGAACTCGGTCAGGATGGACGCTGTGGGTCCCTTTGGCTGATTGCCTTCTTTCACTTAGTCACATAACATGCATGTGCTTCCTGTGACTTAATAGCTTATTCATTGTCACTGCTGAGTAATCACCCATTGTATGCAGGTGACAATTTGTTTATTCACCTACTGAAGGTCGTCTAGGTGGCTTCTGGCTCATGTCAATTATAAATTTCACGAGCAGGATTCTTGGTGGCGACATGTTTTTGAATCCGTGGGGTAAACACCTAAGAGTGTGGTAGCTGGATCATCTTCTCCGACTGAATTGAGTTTGTCTGTCTTCCAAGATGAGTGGGCCTGGCTCCCACCCGCCCCCGGCACGAGTCCCGCGGCTCTGCAGCCCTGCCAGCGGTCGGCATCGCCAGGCCTGCTTTTAACTTAGCCATTCCAACAGGCGCCTGGGACCTCCTTGTGGTTGGAGTCCGCAGCTCCCTGATGGAAAATGAAGGGCGGCATTCTTGCCACGTTCCTTTCCACCCGCCTGACACCTCCTGTGGTGAGGGTCTTGTCAGATCTTTCTCCCGGTTTTCAGTCGGTGTTGTTTCCTTATGCTCAAGTTTGAAGCGTTCTTTGTCCATTTTGGATAAAAGCGTTTTGTCTGATGCATGTTTTTTTTCTGACTGCGTCTTACCTTTTTATTCTCTTAACAGATCTTTTACAGAACAGAGGTTTTAAACTTAGTAACATCAGATTACACTTTGACTTTTTTGGATCATGCTGTTTATGTCACATCTTTGAAGTCTTCACCAAGCCCGAAGCCCCACACCTCTTCTTCAGTGTTTTCTCCAGACACTGGATAGCTCTGTGTTGAACTGGTCTTGTGGTCTGTCCTGAGCTAGTTCTTCAGCCGGTGGCCTTGGTCCCGCGGGCCCTCTCTCGGGGGCATGGCTCTGCCCCTTTCCCGTGTCCTGTGGGTCTATCTGTGGGCCCTCTGTTCTGCCCCGCTGACCTGTTTCTTGCCGTGTGTCTCTTCTTTGGCCCGTGTGCTGCTGGCTGGTAACACGCAGGTCATGGTGAGTTGTGGGGTCAAGTGCCGTGCTCCTTCCACTTGGCTCTTCTTCACCATTGTGTCCCCAGGCTAGTCCCTTGCCCCTCCACGCCAGCCTGAGCAGAGTCTGTACGTGTGACAAATGGCTGGCTGAGCCTTGGATGGAGTGAGCTAGACCCACAGGCCAAGCTGGGGAGAATGAATTCTTAGTGATACTAATCCTCCACCCACGGACACAGGCTCCCTCCTGTTCATTCAGATGTGTGACTTTTTAAGCCATGTTTGATAGCCCCACATAAAGGTCCCATGCGCATTTTGTTAGACTCCCACCTGACTTTACCGATCTCAGTGCCATTATAAATGGCATCACGCCCCAACTTGGAATGCCAATTGCTCTTCGGGGGCAGAGGCAAGCCATGGGCCCTGGGTGTCAATCTTGGGTCCCTGAGCGGGCTAGTTTCTGGTTGTGGGAGCCTTTTGGCAGTTCTTTGGGACTTTCTCCCTAGAGGATCACGGCATTTGAAAACAGACCTTTCTGGCTTCCACCTGTTGCCTTTCCCTCCGTACTGAACCAGCAGGGCCTGCAGCAGGAGGCCGGGCAGCACCGGTGATGGAGGACGTCCCTGCCCACTCCGCACCTGTGACGTCCCCTCCAGGTTTCTGTTTCCCTCTCTCCCGTGTGACTCTTTCCCTTGGTGCTTGGTTCGCACGACCCACACAGGCCTCCACATGCTCCTGTGGGTTCTGAGCCCGTCACAGCGGTGACCAGTTCTCCACTCTGGGAGGGAAACCGAGGCCCCACCTCCACGCACTCTTTCTGCCACCCGCCCATGTCCATCCGGGCTCCGCCTCTCCTACATGACCCTGTCGCTTAGGCGATGCAGCCTGACAAAGGCTTGCTGTGCGACAGCTGTCACGCAGGAGTCCGCTTCTTTTCACCATTTTGAGTTTTCTGCTTGATCATGGGCCACATTTGCCACCTCCTCACATGGGGGACTTCTCTGCCGGCTGCAGGCCCCGCCGTGAACCCTGTGATGGCCTATATGAAGGCACTGCTGTGGGCGGGGTCTCCTAGGACCCCCACCCCACACCCAGAGACACGGCTGTGAGCAGCCTGGGGCCGGGGGCAGCCAGAGTCTCTCCTGGCCTGGGAAGGGCTCGCACTTTCTAGAATCTGGTTCCCTCAGCCCCCACTGCTGCCTGGTGGGTTTCTAAAACTCTCGCATGGTAGCAGGACTTGTTCACCTTGGTGGGGTGGGAGTCACAGTCTGCAAAGCCCCTTCTCCTCCTTGTCACCTCGTTGCTGCTGTGACTAGGGGATCTGACCAGAACGATTATAGAGGGGGACAGGTTTATTTGGCTCCATTCCTTGGGGCTGGGGGTGAGGCTGAGCATCACGGTGGGAGAGTGTGGTGGAGGGAAGCAGCTCACCAGGTGATCAGGAAGCAGGGAGAGGCTCCAGCTCCAGACACAAATATAGACCCCACGGCCCCAGCCCCAATCCCACCCCCTCCAGCCACACCCCTCTGGCCTCCAGTACCCTCAGTCAGTCCCGCCAGGGAGTCAGTCGCTGGCTGGGTTAAGGTGTCGCCCTGTCATCTCTCCTCCAGACCTTTCTGGCATGTCTCACCCGTGAGCCTGGGGCGACACCACAGCCACACCCTAACCCTGGAGGTCACATGTCCTTCAGTCCACTCTTTCACAGGGGCCTCCTGAGGTCCAGAGTCTCCCCCAGGCTCGGGTTCCTGAGATCAGCAAGCACCTGTGAAGCAGTCACAGCTCATTTTCTGGCCTCTTCCCTCCAAGCTCGGGTTTGCATTTGAATGGTCACTTCCTCTGCTGCTGGGGCTTGCAGAGCCTTCTCCTGTGGCCACCAGAGGGACGCCCTAGTGCAGCCCTCCGAGTTGGATCACTGGCCCCTGAATGGTGGGACCAGGAGCACCGGACGAGTTCCCAGCCCCAGCACCTTGTGTGCCATCTCTGTGCTCAGGCTGAGCAGAGCAGCCCCTGTTCCCCCTCCCCAGGTCTGCTGCCTCTTGGGTGGGGAAATGGAACCCCAAGCCAGATCTGAGAGGCCAGGCCTGGCTCACCCTCTCCCCAAACCTGGGGTTCCACCTTCTGTCCCCCACACTCCCCTCCAGACAATTGACAGTCCTCTCAGAAGACCCCGTGCTGACCCCTGCATGTACTGGAGAGGAGGGGAGGGTGGCCTGAACCTTCAGCAGAGGGGGTGCAAGAGGGTGCAGGGGCCAGAGAGGAGGCTTCCAGGGTAGGGGTCACCTCCCTAGGAAGGGTCTAGGGTGCCTCCCTGGTGGGACTCCAGGAGCTGCCCAATAGATGGAGCCTGTTGGGTGGAACAGGCCAGGGTGGGGCTAGCAAGCCAGGGGTCTGCCTCCTGCTAAGGCCCAGCAGGAAGCAGACAGAGGAAGACAGTTCTGTCCTGTGCTGGCCATCCGGTTCCCTGGTGACCATCCTTCACTGGGGGGGGGGCTGCAGAACCGGCCCTGCAGGGACACTGGTGCTGTCCTTTGGAGGCCGAGGCTGGAGGCCAGCTGAGCGCGTGTCTCTCCCCAGGGAAGCAGCTGCCCCCCTTTACTAGCTGGCTGTACTTCTCCCAGGAAGAGACGACCACCATAAAACGAAAACCCCGAGGTAGCCTTTGCCTTCCCTGCCAGACAGCCCCAAGGAGGTGGGCTCGGCAACCGCACCTGCCACGGGGCGGGGTCTCCCTGGAGGGCCAGGAGCCGCGCGTGGGTGCAGGAGGGGTGTGGGGGAAGAGAGGACAGTCCAGGGACGCCAACCTTGAGCACCTGCTGGGTCAGAGCTGGGTGCTGGGGAGCCACTGGGCACTGCCTATGAGGCGTCCAGCTGGGACAAGGGCAGGGTGGGGACAGCACAGGGGGCACCTGGAGGAGCAGGTCCCCGACAATGGAGGCAGGAAGGCATGGCCAGCGTCAGCCTCAGGGGCCTGGCCACTGCAGGGCCAGTGGGGGCAGGGGATGTAAAAGGGGCCCTGGGTCACTCACGGGTCATCCAAGCTGCCCTTGGAGAAGCCCTGGGCCGTGCTGCAGAAATGCCTTGAGGCTGAGGCTAGACCGGCTCTGGGGTGGTGAGGACGGGCCCCACCCAGCCTGACCACCCGTACTCCCGGGCACTCACACCACCCCTTGCTGGCAGCCATCAAAGAGTCCTCGCCTTCGGAGGTCTGCACCACCTCGGGCTGCGTGATGGCAGGTGAGGCGCAGCCCACCCAGGGCCCTCCTGGAGTTGGGGGCCGGGCTTGCTGGGGCTCCCTGCACCTCCTTCGTGCCCCTGCAGCTGCAGCCTGGTGGCTCTGAGGACCAGGGCTCTGCTCTGCACACGCTTGTCTCCTGTTGGGGTCAGAGGCTGCCATTTGCACAGGTGGGGTGGGGAAGGGACAGGAGAGACTCCAGCAGGCGCTTCTGCCAGAGTCGGTCCTGCAGCGCCAGGTGGTCTGTCTGCACGTCCCCAGCCTCCAAGGGACCAGGATTCAAGGGGGGGCTCTGGGTGTCTGCAGGAAGGGGGTCCAGCTGAGAGCTCTCTGCAGGGAGCCTCAGCATCCCCTGGGCCCAACACAGGGACCCAGCCACCCCCAGCAGGAAACAAACCCCAGATGGGGGCTAAGCACACCTGATGGCTGAGAGGCTCAGGTCCTGCCAGGAGCCAGGAGCTGGCGCCAGCTCAAGGGCAGGGCCAGCAGCCTGGAGCCAGGCTCATCTCCACCCAGGGCCTCTCGGGTCAGACTGCTGTGTCCCCAGAAGTGAGACTCAGGAAGCCACGAGGCTTCAAGGTCATGTAGTCGTTCAGCAGCAGCCCCAGACTGGAACCCACCTTTGATTCCAACCTTATGTGGCTCAGAGAGGGTGACTGACCCTCCCAGGGGCCCATGGCTGCAGCTGGTTGGGGAGGGAGACTCCCTGAGCAGATAGTCAAGTCAGGCCATCTACACCCCACCCTGGGACAAGCAGCTGCTAGGATCCTGCAGAACATGGACCCAACCAAGGAGCCCTGTGACGACTTCTACCAGTACGCCTGCGGAGGCTGGCTGCGGCGTCACGTGATCCCCGAGACCAGCTCGCGGTACAGCGTCTTCGACATCCTGCGCGATGAGCTGGAGGTCATCCTCAAAGGTGGAGCAGCCACCACCTCGGGAGCAGCGTGGGGACAGCACTGAGCCAGGACAGGGGGCTGGCTGGGTCTCTCAGTGCAGCCCCCGGGGCCTCCTGGGTCTCCCCTTTATCAGGAGCTCCCAGGGCACAGGCCTGCTGACCTGGCCCCCAGCAGTCACCTCAGGCCTCTGTCCACATTCTCCTCTGCCCTCAGGTGTGCTGGAGAAGTCCACTGACAAGGACCGGCCCGCAGTGGAGAAGGCCAAGATGCTGTACCGCTCCTGCATGAACAAGAGTGAGTGGGCGCCAGGTAGTCTGTCTGCACGTCCCCGCCTCCCGGGGGGGCTCTGGGTGTCTGCAGGAAGGGGGTCCAGCTGAGAGCTCTCTGCAGGGAGCCTCAGCATCCCCTGGGCCCAGTACAGGGACTCAGCCACCCCCAGCAGGAAACAAACCCCAGGGAAGGGCCCTGGTGAGACCTGCAGGTGGGCTGCTCCTGCCAGGGCCCACGCGTGGGAGTGGACACTGCTCAGGACTCAGGCCATGGGTCTGTGTGCTGTGCCCTCCACCTGGCCTGTGGGTCCATAAGCAGACCTGTTGTCAGCGGCCCTGTGATCTCGCTCACACCCAGGCCACTCTCTGTCCAGGCAGCAGGGGTCCTGCCGGGAGCCCAGGAGAAGCATGCATGTGTGGGTGTTGCGTGTGTGTGTGTGTGTGTGTGTGTAGTACACAACCATCGCAAGTGTCTCTGTGTTGTACACACATGTTTCTGTGATGTGTACACACATGTGCATTGTGTGTGTGTCTAGCAGGTGTGTGCTCTGTGCAGGTGCCCATGTGTGGGTGTGCGTGGGTGCCGTGGCTGTCCTCGGTCTCTGCCTTTTCTGCACGGCCTGCACTTACTTCCGGGCGGCTGCTCTCCTCAGCCTCCGCAGACCCGCTCTGCACCGGAGGCGCCTGTCTTGGGTTCCAGCCATCATCTCTAGTCAAGCCCCCAGCACAGCCCCCCCCCCCGCTGGAACACCCAGGGCTGCCAGTTCTGGGGACCACCGTGGCCGTGCTGGTCAGGCTGGTCATTGCTTCCCTAGGCTCACTCACCTGCTGCCAGCTCCCAGGTCCCTGCCCTGCCCCGGGGCCGTGTGCTCGCCAGCCCCAGCTCCCTCCACGCTGTGCTAAGATGCTGATCCTGTGAAGGGGGCGTGGGCTGGGTGTGACCTGTCCCCTTGGGCCCGTGTCAGGCATGTGAGCCCCCCCCTTCCCCTTCTTAGGCGTGATAGAGAAACGAGACTCTCGGCCCCTGTTGGACGTCCTAGAGACCGTGGGAGGGTGGCCAGTGATCATGGACAAATGGAATGAGACCAAAGGTGAGGCCAGGCCTGGAGAACAGACAGGTGGACATAGCCCCTGGGACACCTTGGGACCAGGCCCTCCAGGGGAGGCCACCCGTCTGTCTGGCTGCCAGCTCTCAGGAAGTCCCAAGAGGCCCATCTCTGCCAGCCCAACCTCAGGGCCCTGGGAGCAGGCTCAGGGTCCTAGCCAGAGAGCGAGTGCCATCTGTGACTGGGGCTTCCTAGAGCTGACCCCGAAGCTCTGCAGAGGGCACCCCTCCCGGACCCCTAGACTCCCAGTTCTGAGCGTGCTCCGGCACCCCTCCAACTCAGGGTCCGGAGTGACCACAGAGCAGTTAGCGGCCCCCACGCAGTGCTGCACTGGGGGCCTAGTTGTCCCTGTGGCCTGTGTGGGGAGGAGTGACCCCTCCCTTGCGCTCCAGCCCTCCGGGCCCACAGTAAGCTCGTCACCCCCACCCGGGCAAGGGTCCCCTCCACCTGGAGCTCTGGGCTTAGGAGGCAGACGCGTTGCCTGGCGAGGGCTGGGCTGAGACCCCAGGCCCTGACGGTCTCCAGAGTGGACGTGACTCCCCAGGCCCCCAGTGGAAGCTGGAGCAGCAGCTGGCCCTGATGAACGCTCAGTTCAACAGGCGCGTCCTCATCGACCTCTTCATCTGGAATGATGACCAGAACTCCAGCCGCCACATCATCTACGTACGTGCCCCCGGGCCGGCCAGGCGGGGCCTCCGAGGACGGGGGGACACAGGCCCGGGCAGTGGGGCTGTGTGCTCAGGGCCTGGGCTCCCTGGCCCTTTCCTGGCCCACATCTGAGCCTCTGGGGACGGACGTCATGGAGCAGGATTTCTGTGGTTCTCAGGGACAAGGAGGCCTTTGGCACCAGGGCAGGAAGCCTACTCCCAGGGCCCCAGGGAAACATGTGTGAGGCCACTCCGGGAGGACTGAGCACCGAGGGGCCCTGCAGGGCCTGGCCCTCCACCCTTCTCTGGCTCCCCCAGTCCTGCCCTCCAGGCCCTGCCCAGCCTCCCTGTCACTCAGAGCTAGTTTAGGCTCCTGGGGTGACACTCTATAGCATCTACCCTCAGGGGTGCGAGTATCCCACTGGGCGCAGTCCTGGGAGGGGTGCTGCAGCCTGTGGACCCCGGGCTCTTGCCCAAGGTCATACCCTCTGTGTTTCCAGATAGACCAGCCCACCTTGGGCATGCCCTCCCGGGAGTACTACTTCAGCGAGGGTAACAGCAAGAAGGTGAGCTGGGGCCCTTCCGCCCATGCCGGGCCTGCCCCCTTCCACCTCAGGGCCTACTGGGGCCAGGGGCTCCATTGTCCACAGACCCTTGCAGCCCACAGCAAGCTTCTGTGGCAAGTTCCAGGGTCCAGCCTGGCACTGGATGCCAGGGACGCAGATGCAAGGGCTCACCTTCAACACCCTCTGCCAGGCTCAGGAGAGCTCAGCCAGCAGGCAGCCTGTGGGGCCACCTGCCAGCCCCAACCAGCCCTGCCATGCAGAGCAGGCCACACTGCCAGGGTCTGCACAGACATGCCCAGCATGAGCAGCTGGGCCCGAGCCCACACTCTGCTCCTGTAGCAAGGGGCTCAGTCAGGAGAGAGAGACAAGTGTCCAGAAAGGCCAGCCAGGGCAAGGGGGCTGGGGTCAGGGAAGAGTCAGAGAGCAGAGAGCAGGTAGGGGGTGGGGCACCCCGGGAGCAGAGCAGAAAGGCAGGAGGTGTGGGTGGCCCCGATGGAAGGGCGGGGAGCCCTGGGGGACCTCCTGGCAGAGGGCCAGTGAGCTGAGCTTTGAAGGATGGGTCAGGCCAGGAAGAAGGACGGCTGACGCCAAAGCATGGAGCCCAGGGGTCGGGAGAATCCTCAGACATCAGGAGCTGGAGTGTCCCGTCATGGGCCACCTCAATCAGACCTGCAGGGGGCACTGGCCCTCCTGGCGCAGAGCAGCGTACAGGGGTGGCCTCTGCCTGGCGCAGAGCAGCGTACAGGGGTGGCCTCTGCCTGGCGCAGAGCAGAGTACAGGGGTGGCCTCTGCCTGGCGCAGAGCACCGTACAGGGGTGGCCTCTGCCTGGCGCAGAGCAGAGTACAGGGGTGGCCTCTGCCTGGCGCAGAGCAGAGTACAGGGGTGGCCTCTGCCTGGCGCAGAGCACCGTACAGGGGTGGCCTCTGCCTGGCGCAGAGCAGCGTACAGGGGTGGCCTCTGCCTGGCGCAGAGCAGCGTACAGGGGTGGCCTCTGCCTGGCGCAGAGCACCGTACAGGGGTGGCCTCTGCCTGGCGCAGAGCAGAGTACAGGGGTGGCCTCTACGGCTCCTTCGCCCTGAGGAAAGCCCTTCCCAGGATGGGAGGGGAAAGAGGATCTCAGTCTGGCTAGGAGCCCCCACCCCAGGCTTCCTCCCACAACATGAGCCTCACAGGTGCCTGCAGGGCCAGCCCTTCAGAGCCCTCTGCCACAGAGGCTGGGGCATGGGTCACTTGGTCAGCAGGGATGGAGCTGGGTCAGGAATGGCCTAGTGTGAGCCGTCTGGTGTGACCCTGGTGTGGGGCCCGACACCACAGTTTGGGTGGACAGCAGGTCCACGGGGCACACAGCTGTTCTGGGAGTGTGATGGGGGCCACCGGGCTCTGAGCTGGGCAGGCACAGGGCACTGTGTGCTGCAGAGCCTGGGGGCTGAGGTTGGCCAGACGGGCTCCCTGGGGGCTGCTCCACGTCATCACCCACCCCACCCCACAGAGCGCTCCATGGTGGCCGAGGTGGCCGAGGCGGCCAAGGCAGCCCAACTCTATCCACGGTCCTTTGGCCCAGGTGCGGGAAGCCTACCTGCAGTTCATGATATCGGTGGCCACCATGCTGCGGAAGGACAAGAAGCTCCCCAAGGACAACAAGCTAGTGCGGAAGGACATGACGCAGGTGCTGGAGCTGGAGACGCACCTGGCCAACGTGAGGCGGGGCCGGGGACCGGGCCAGGGGTCTTCGGCCAGGCTCCGGCCACCCACCCCACGTGACCCCAGCCTACATGCAGGCCACAGTGCCCCAGGAGGAGAGACACGACGTCAGGGCCCTGTACCACAGGATGAACCTGAAAGACCTCCAGCACAAGTTTTCCCTGAAGGTGAGGCTGGCGTGCACCGGAGGCCAGTGCCAGCGCCGGCCCGGGCCTGACCTCACCCCCACTGTGCTTCAACCATGCCCCCCCAGGCAGGGACCAACTCGCTGCACCCAAAGAGTAATACGCTGAGCACAACCAAGCATGGTGACCAATCCCAGAGGGACAGCAGTCACCACCTGTCATCAGGGACAGTCACCCTGTCTCACCATGAGGGTTGGGTGACCCCAGTTTATCAGGAAACAGGATGGGGAGGCTGCAGACTGTCCTCAGGTCTTCCCGGCCCAGGGGCTCTGCCCACCCTGACCGTGGGGCTCCCATGGCCCTTCCCTGCCTGGAGATCAGAGCCTTGGGCTGGGGGCAGCAGAGAAGCGACGTAGCCAAGGGCAGGGATCTGGCCCCCAGCCCGGCAGTGGCTCAGCCCACCCAGCCCTGCCCTGAGGGGCTGGCCAGCTCCAGGGGTATCCAGGAGGGGCAGAAGCAGTGCAGGTCCAGCCTCAGCAGCTGTGGCAAAGGAAGTCCGCGGGAGAACGGACCCGGAGCTCCTCCTCCTGACCAGTCACATGAGCGTCCGGACACACGGCTCTCCCAAGGATAAGACTGGAACCCTGGAGAGAGCCCTGGACCCCGCTCATCACCCCTGGTGTCCTGGGAGGCCCAGTCCCTGTCCTGCACACTGGCCCCGAGAGATGGCCAGCTGCAACACCCCTCCCCCCAACCCAGCCCCTGGCTCCCTGTCCAGCAGACCTCTGCAGGGCCAGGACTGGGCTCCATCGGGGCACAGAACGAAGCCTGGCCCACCCAGGGAGGGACGGCAGGCGAGTGACCCGGAATGTGCAGGAAAGCAGAAAGCCACGCAGGGCCAGTGCTGGCCATGGGGAGAGGGGCCAGGGAGACTGCCCTGCTGTCAGGGCCACCAAGGGCCCAAGGCAGGGCTGCGAGGGGTCAGGGGGCTGAGCCAGTGGACTGCATCAGCCTGGGGACCGTATAAAGGCCTGGACTCCTGTGAGAGGGCTTGGGGCCAGGCAGGGCAGGGCAGGCCGGGCAGTGGGCCTGGTGGAGGCTGTGCTTATCTTGAAGGAAGAGCCCTCAGGGCCAGAGGCAGGAGGCGGAGGAAGTCCTCAGGTGGCCTGGAGGTGCCTGGGGTGGCCTGGGAGTGGTGGGAGGCTTGTGAAGTGCCCAGTGACAGGACCCGGCCAAGGCCCCTGCTGCCCCTGGTGCCGTCTCCTCCCTGGGCACCTCGCCCTCACCCCCACAGGAGGAGCAGGGATGTGGCGCCTGATGTTGACCCCAGGCTCCTGTCCCACACCTCGAGATGAACCCGCATGCCTGCATCTAGCACAGAGTGACAGCTGGTAACGCGGCAGCTGCACCCTGGCCCCCGACTGGGCTGGCGGGGCTGCGGCACCACCGTCTGCGGTGTGTGGGCAGTGCCAGGTGGGAGGGGCCGTTCAGTCGTGGGCGGCACGCGCCAGCCTTCCCCACAGCTCACGGTCCACACGCCTCACCAGGGCTGGGTGGCGCCCACCTTTCTCCCCAACCCACCTTGGGCATGTGTGGCATTGCATCTGCGTCCAGCTGGGCTTCCTGAGGCCCACGAGGCTGGGTGCCGTTTCCGTCCACTGACCGCGGCTCCCTCTTCTGGGAGTGTCCGCTCAGTCCCTTGCCCTGGTCTTGCAGCTGTCTGCCTTTCCCCTGCTGCTGGCGGAGCTCTTGCCTGCTCCAGAAGCACCCCTTGGTGGCCAGTGTCCCCCAAGAGCAGCTCGCGTCCCCACTTCCGCAGCAGGCCCTTTCTTTCCGAGGAGTGTTTGAAACCGTCCAGTTTATCGACTTATCAAAGGCGTAGCAATCTTCTCTGCATGCTGATGTTCCAGTGTCTGTCTTGACTCTGCCCTCCAGGGCGTCCAGGCCTGCGGTCTGCCCTGAACTGGTTGGCAGCCACAGTGAGAGGGAGGGTTGTCTGGTCTCTTCCTTAGGAATCTCCCATGAGCACTCCATCTGTTGATAAGATGACCCCCTGATCACTGGCAAGTGCCATCTTTGGTGTAAACCAAGTGTGTTTCTGTGTGTCTCTGGACACTCTTCTGTTCTGTTGGTCTCTGTCCATGTGCCAGCCACGGTCACCTTCACTACTGCAGCTTTCTGAGGACTCTTGATATCCAATCAGTTTGGCAACTTGGTCCTTCAAAAGACTATCTATATTGGTCAGGAATGGTGGCGCACGCCTGTAATCCCAGCAACTCTGGAGGCTGAGGCAGGAGGATCCAAGATCAAGGCCAGTCTCAGCAACGTAGCAAGACCCTGTCTCAAAATAAAAAATAAAAAGGGCTGGGGGTGGGGACTGGGCTTGTGGCTCAGTGGTAGAGCACTTGCCTAGCATGTGTGAGGACCTGGATGTGATTCTCAGCATCACGTATAAATAAATGAATAAAATAAAGGTCCATCAACGTCTTTAAAAAAAAAATTTAAAGTACAAAAAAGAAGGTTGTCTGAACTGTTCTGGACCTTTTGCATTTTTTAAAATATAGTTTATTTGCTGCTGAACCTTTATTTTATTCATTTATTTATATGTGGTGCTGAGAATCGAGCCCAGTGTCTCACACATGCCAGGCCAGCGCTCTGCCACTGAGCCCCACCCAGCCCCTGTATTTTCATATAAAACCTTCAATCAGCACAGAGTGCTTGCTGGGATTCTGCTAGGAAGTGCTTTGAGGAAGACGGGCAGCTGGACTGCACCGCACCTTCCGCACTTCCCACCTCTGAGCCCGATAGAAGCCTCCATTCATTCATGACTTCCCATTTCTCTGAGTTCTGTGGAGCTGGTTCCCAGCTCTCGCGCAGCTCGCCCCAGGTTTATTCCCAGGGCCTCTGTGCGTGCCGGGGTGAGTGGCTCTGTGTAGTCAGTCCACCTCCTGGTTGGCCGCCCGCACACAGAGATCCCACCTTGGGAAACAGGGTGTTCCTCAGCTCCCCTGTTAGTCCTGATGATTCCTCTGCAGATTCTCAGGCTTCATACACAAGAAATCACCCATCTGGGGAAGCGCCACGCGGGAAGCGTCCCCCGCCAATCCTCGTTTGTCCCGCTTCCCTGCCGTCCTGGTGGGAGACTCGGCCTGTCGCCCTGGGTCAGGCAGCGGGGCCGGGCCTCGCCAGTCTGGCCTGCTGGACAGTTTCCCCGTCGTGGCTGGAACTGTTTGTAGATTTCCCACATCAGGTCACAGAACTATTTTTAGCTTGCCAAGAGTCTTTATAGTGAGTGATGGTAAATTTTACTAAGTGCCCTTTCTGTATCTATCAGAATTATCATGTGACTCTCCTCGTTTATCCAGTTACCGTAGTGAATTCTACTGATGGGATTTTGAAATGTGACACCAAACTTGTACTCCTCAAATAGCTGGCCTGTGACGCACGCCAGTGACCCCTGGGATCAGCTGCATTCTATCTGCTAACATTTTGCTCAGAATTTTTGCATATACTATCATAACACTGGTTAGTGTTTTCTTATTATCTCCTTACCCTGGTCCTTAATAAGATCAACAGTCTGTTCTCCCTAAATGTCAGATGGAATGCACTGGAAAAAACAGACGGGCCTGGAAATTTGTGGGAATGTTTCAACTGAAAGAGTCAGTTTACTTAACCTGTGAGACCATTTATATTTTCTGCTTGTTGTTTCTACCGTTATTTCTCACAGGGATTTCATTAATTGCACTTAACTTTTCACAAACTCTCACCTGCCTCCGGGCCCCTGGACTCTGTGGACGGCCACCCAAGTGCTGTACTGCTTGCTCCCTGCTCCCCTCCTCTGGGTACTCCTTGGTGGGGCTGGCCATCTCTCCCTGCTCCCTCCTCCCGCAGGGATTCAACTGGACTCTGTTCATACAATCCGTGCTGTCGTCGGTCAAGATCACGCTGCTGCCCAATGAGGAGGTGGTGGTCTATGGCATTCCTTACCTGCAGAACCTTGAAGAGGTCATCCACATGTACCCTCCCAGGTGAGGCCCAGAGAAGGGCCCAAGGGCCACAGCTTGTGTGTCGCTGCCCCGTCCACACACACAGCTCCGCTCTCAGGAGAGGGCTGCATCAAGTAGGTGCCCTCAGGTCCGGGGATAAGGGAGGTCACACTTAGCAGCTGTGGAGCCTTATGCTAGAAACCAGGGCCAGCAGACTGACGCCTGGGTCACTCTGGCACCTGGAGCTCTGCGTGGGCAGGAGGCGCTGGCCAAGCTGCATCCCACTCTCGGCCGAGCAGCTCACTTGTGCTGCCCCTGCCCTGCCTCCTGCCCCAGGACCATGCAGAACTACCTGGTCTGGCGCCTGGTGCTGGATCGCATCAGCACCCTGAGCCAGCGATTCAAGGACGCACGCGGGAGCTATCGCAAGGTGAGCCCTCCCTGCTGCAGGGCTCCAGGCTGCCTGGGGCCGGGCCCTGCTCTTTCACAGGTGACTGAGCATAAGCTGGGGGCCCCACAGGAGGCCACGGGGCAAAGCATGGGCTGTGCAGGCCCAGCACCTGCCCCCTGGGGCAGTCAACAACCAGCAGTCAGCAAAGCAGAAATCTCCTGTCCAAAGCAAGTGTGACTGAAGGGAGGGGACAGGAAGAGAGCAAGCTGCCACATGGAGGTGACTTTGACCTTAAGGGCAGTAAAGAGACCAGGGCAGAGGCCCAGAGGCAGGAACAGGCAGCCCAGGAGGCCAGACCCAGCAAAGGGGCAAGCCAGCTTCCCAAAGGCGGGCGATCCCGCAGCCAGGAGGGGCAGCAGGGCACCGGGCAGGGCACTCGCTGGCCGGATCACATTTCCATGCCTTCCCCTTCCACCCCTGGGGACACACGGGCATGCGGTCTCATCACCACTTCAGTGGTAGGGAAACAGGGCCCAGGGGGCTGGGGCTAGTGGCCAGGGTGGACACAGTCCCCAGAGCTTGCTCTAGGGTCAACACTAGCCCTGTGTCTTGGAGGCAGATAACCAGGGCGGAGGGAGGACTGGCCCAGCAGATCACCCCACCTCTCCCAGAGTAGCGGCCCAGCACCTGGCCTGGGTGGGTGGGAGCCCCACAGCTGTCCAGCTCCCACACCCACAGCCAGCACTTGGAAGCAAGTCTGAGACATCCCATGTCCCACATCCCACTTTGGCCGGTGGCACCCCAAGACCAGGGACAGGGTGGGTCTGCTGGCCTCACAGACCCAGGGCCCCACGCGGGACCTGCGCTGTGGATGCAGCGAGAGGGTGCACCGTGAGGGCAGGCGCAGTGAGGCAGACCCCGATGCCAGGCGCTGTACGGCACCACGGTGGAGGAGGTGCGCTGGCAGGAGTGCGTGGGCTACGTGAACAGCAACATGGAGAGCGCCGTGGGCTCCCTCTACGTCAAGAAGGCCTTCTCCAAGGACAGCAAGAACATGGTGGGTGCTGCTTCCTGCCATGGGAAGGCGGGCCTTCCACAAGGGGCACACCCAGGCCAGGCCCCTGTGCATCTCGCTCAGGGACATCCAGAGGGCACGTGTTTGTCCCAGAGGCCCCAGAGGGAGGCCAGGGAACCTTGCCACCCAGTGCTTCTGACCCCCAGATCCCTGCTGCCCCCAGCCCTGGGCCCTGCAGACCACCTGAGCCAGGCACAAGATCTACACACAGTGAGCCCAGGGCCAGCAGGCCTTCTGCGCACCTGCAAGGACTTGAGCCCCAGGGCAGGGACCCTGAATGGAGGTGGTCACCCCCATACCAACACCACACGTCACCCAGGAAGCCCCCAGCTGGGGCAGCCCGGGGACACCTCCAGAGGTGTCTTAGATCAGTAACCCAAAAGTCCTGAAGGTGGGTCACACGGCCCCCTGATGAGTCCAGGACACAGGCCATGTGCCCCAGGTCAAAGAACTCATCAACAAGGTGCGGGCTGTGTTTGTGGAGACCCTGGATGAGCTGAACTGGATGGACGAGGAGTCTAAGAAGAAGGCCCAGGAGAAGGTGGGGCAAGCCACTCAGAGGCCCCCAGTAGCCCCGAGGTCAGGACCTCCACCCACAGGGGCGGCCCCAGGGGGGGAATCAGGAATGGGAAATCCCCGCCACTCCAGGAACAGGCTGTGGGCAGGGGCCGTGGCCAGGGAGTGGGGGTCTGCACCTGTGGGACAAATAGGCCACTCCCCAGGCCCTGGCTGGCTACACAGTTCTTGGGGCTTTGGCCCTTAGTCCCAGGCAGGGGGCAGAACTGGCAGGTGGCCTCCTACGGGGAGCCGGGGCACAACCAGTCCTCTCCCCCTCAGGCCATGGGCATCCAGGAGCAGATCGGCTACCCAGACTACATCCTGGAGGGGAACAAGCGCTTGGACGAGGAGTATTCCAGCGTGCGCCCCGACCCCCAGTGCCCCTCAGGACCTCTGCCTGCCTTGCCCACTGCCCAGCCCCTGCCTCCAAACCACCACGGGGACACGGGGCTCTGGGCCAGGCACCCTCCCACAGCCTGGGGTGGCTTTAGCATCATCTCAGCTTGCAGACGGGGGACTCGGGTCCGGGGGTGGTTCAGAGTCACATAGGTAGATGTTGAGGGCCAGGGCCCCACTCATCCCCCCACCCCACCGTCTGCACCCAGAGCAGGGGCCATTGCTGGCTACTGGCGAGTCTCGAGGCCCTTCCCTGACCACCCTTGACCCCTCGCCCACCCCTCCGAGGACCAGCCTGAGCACCGCCGTGGCCGCCCCTCTCTCATAGCTGAACTTCTCAGAGGACCTGTACTTTGAGAATGGGCTGCAGAACCTCAAGGCCAATGCCCACAGGAGCCTCAAGAAGCTTCGGGAACAGGTGGACCAGAATCTGTGAGTGGCGTGGCCAGTGTGGCCTTCAGGAGCTACCTGCTGGTTGGGGTGGCCCTGTGCCTGGCTGAGGCTGGGGAGGGACACTGGGCCTGTCTCAGACTCCCCCCCACCCCGTTTGGGGGAGGTGCAGAGAGTACCTGGATCTTGACGACCAGGCATGGCACGTGCTCTGGCACGGCCACTGTGACAGGACAGGCGTTAGCCAGCCAGGGCAGGGAGGCGCCGAGGGAAGATCCCAACAGACGGGGGCCCAGGTGACGGTGTGTTCACCACAGCTGGATCATCGGGGCTGCCGTGGTCAACGCATTCTACTCTCCAAACCGAAACCAGATTGGTATGCCCGCCGCCTCGCTGCCCACCCCGCCCCCAGAGTCCTGGGGCAGACCCCCCAGCGGTTGCCAGAAGGGGAGTGCACTCTCCCACCTCACTGTCACCCGTCAGGGCTGCGCAGCTGCAGGAGTCAGGGGGATGCAGGGGGCAGTCCCTGAAGGCACACGGTGGCCAAGAGGCCAGAGGGTCCCAGATCTAGCCCCACCCTCTTGGCCTCTCAGCCTGTTTCCTCAGCTGTACATTGGGGAGGAGGAGTCCATCTCCCAGCCACGGGAGTGGATGGTGGGACCCTGGAGGTGACACCTGAGCATGGCACACAGATGTGCCCACTCAGTTTATTCTTTGTCCCCCTTGGGGACAGTTTTCCCTGCTGGGATCCTCCAGCCACCCTTCTTCAGCAAGGAACAGCCGCAGGCCCTGAACTTCGGGGGCATCGGGATGGTGATTGGGCACGAGATCACACATGGCTTTGATGACAACGGTAAGGGGCTGCCGGGGTCTCCAGACCAGATTTGCACCTGCCAGCCACACACCTGCCTCCAGGAGCTCCTGGGGCCTCCAAAGAGGTCTGGGGGGGGGGGGGACACAGGCCAGGGCATGGGAACATGTGCTGGACTCGAGGGAGCTGGGGCAGATTAGGTCTTGAATGCCACCCAGGGCCCCATCCAGAGAAACCACCAGGGGTACAGCAAGGTCCTGATTCCCCTTCATGGCTGGTCACTTCCCCAAGATGGTCATGGGGATCCCCCCAAGGGCACCCCTGTGCTCCTGGGGGCCCTGTTCCCTCACCTGGGGTTTAGAAAGTTAGCACGTCCAGAGGAAGCCATACACCCAGTGTCCCTAGGACCCCAGGACCCAGTAACAGCAGGCCCTAATGTCAGGGTGTGGGGGACCACGGAAGCCCTCCCTCTCTGGGGCTGAAGCCCTGCAGCACACCCGTCCCCTCTGAGCGTGTCCGGCTCTGCAGGGCTCGGGCTCTGCCCAGGAGTGTGAGCTCCAGCTCCTGGGGTCGGCTGGAGGCCAGCACAAGCAGCCTGACCGTGGACAGGCCTTGGCTGGGGGGAGGGCAAGTCCAGGCTGGGGCTGGGGGACAGCCAGCTCCGCACTGCCCTGCTCAGGCCGGAACTTCGACAAGAACGGCAACATGCTGGACTGGTGGAGCAACTTCTCGGCCTGGCACTTCCGGAAGCAGTCGGAATGCATGGTCTACCAGTACAGCAACTACACCTGGGACCTGGCTGACAAGCAGAACGTGAGCGCCTGCCACCGCGCCCACCCACACTCGGCCCTGGTGCTGCGGGAAAGGGGGGCCGGGGCCAGGGCCGGGGCCGCGCCCACCTGTCTTCTGTGCACAGGTGAACGGATACAGCACCCTGGGGGAGAACATCGCAGACAACGGAGGAGTGCGGCAGGCGTACAAGGTGGGTCCGAGTAGGAGCCTCGGGCAGGAGCCTCGGGCAGGAGCCTCGAGCAGGGGACAGAGGGCCTTCAGCATGGGCTGAGACCGTGTCCTGGGGACTCTTCCTGACTGGGCAGGCAGCATTGCCCCAGAGCACCTCTTGGCCATGGGTAGGCCCTGGGCCTCAACCAGCCTGAGCTGGCCACTTACCATCTCCAAATGAGGTAGTGGACTAGTGACCACATGTCCACCCACCTCAGCATCCCTCACCTGCAGCCAGGAATGGATGAGCCCTAGGTACCAGGTACCCATTCGGGTGGGCACCAGCTGGCAGGCCACCTGGCCGGACCCCAAGGAGCCCTGCTGGAGTAAGCATGCGGAGGCAGCTCGGGAATCAGGGGTGTGCCCGAGGGCCCTAAGCTGCAGAGCAGGGCCCCCGTCCACAGGTCCTGGAGCCAGCCTCCATTCTGCATGGAGATCAAAGGGCTCAGAAGGCCTGGCTGCACTGGCCAGGCTCAGCACCCATTTGGGCCTGCAGGCTTACTTAAAGTGGACCACGGAGGGCGGCAAGGACCAGCAGCTACCAGGACTGAAGCTGACCTGCGATCAGCTCTTCTTCGTCAACTACGCCCAGGTGCAGCTCCTGTCCCACCCGCCCCCAGCCTCCCCACCACACCTTGGAGGGCCCACTTCTCAGCCTGGCACTGTGGCGGGCCCACTACAGGGCCTCGAGGGACACTGTGAGCTGGCCAGACCACAGAACCAGAACCAGTGGTCCTGGAAGGCTTTTTGGAGGAAGAGGCTGGCAGGGGAGGGAGCTAGGAAGAGCCAGTGTCCAGGGAGGAGAGCACCTGCTGGCTTCCTCCCCCACCCGAGGGGCAGCCTGGGCCGTGGGGACTGCTGCGGCCCCTGCCACGACCAGGGGCACCCTTCCAGCCCCACAGCCTTGTAGCCACGCCCTTGGTGCACCCGCAGGTGTGGTGCGGGTCCTACCGGCCTGAGTTTGCCATCCAGTCCATCAAGACTGACGTCCACAGTCCCCTGAAGTACAGGCAAGTGCCCCCTGCCCACTCCCGTGCCCCCGAACACACCCAGGCTCCTGTCTCAGGCTGTTCTGTCCACCCGCTCGTCTGCAGGGTGCTGGGCTCATTGCAGAACCTGGCTGCCTTCGCTGACACCTTCCACTGCACCCAGGGGTCCCGCATGCACCCCAAGAAGCGATGCCGCGTCTGGTAGCCAAAGCTGAACCACACTGTGCGGTCCACACCCACCCGCTGCCCAGAGGCACCTGCAGCACAACAGTGCAGCCAGCAGGGACCTGGTAGGCACCCCGCCAGGTGGCCATGGTGCCGGCCCGACCTCCGTGCCAGCCTGAAACACAGCCACCGCCTGACACCGGTCACTTGACCCCTCCGCATCCACCTTCGGGGGTCAGAGCCCCATGCAGCCCCATAGACACCATCCACCATCTTCCACCCGCTCTGAAAGCTCGCTGCTGCGCGACGTCTATGAGCTTCAGACACGAGCCGAATAAAGGCTTGAAAGAAGGCTACGCCTCGTGTGTGCAGGACGGGCTGGTGGGGGTCGGGGCAGTGGCCAGGGCAAACGAGGTCAGGCGGCAAACACCCCAGTGAGCTGCCAGGGAAATGGTCTCTGAACAAGCGTCCAGCATCCTAGTGGGGACCTGGCAGTGGCCAGGATGTGCCAGACAGCCACCTCCAGGGGCCACTGACTCAAGGGTCTGAGGTCGGGAGGGCGGTGGCCCAGGGGGTCAGCGGAGCTTCAGCCTGGCACTGAGATCTTAGTTTTGTGTCACTTGAAGCCAGAGGAGTTATCAGGCTGCCAAGGGCCGCATCGCCTGCCCTGTTTTTGCAAAATGACCACTGGTGTGTGGGTGGGGGACAAGGCCATGCAGGAGGACACTGTGGTCCCCAAGCTTGAACTAGGGAGACAGAGGAGGTGCTGATGTGGTCACCAGAAGCCATGTGGATAAGGGAGCCCTTGAGAGGAGAGAAATGAAGTGGGAGGGGCGTTGGAGTTCTGCTGCAGACCTGGTGGACCCTGGAGGGATGGCGGCTCCCAGGCCAGCAGCCCTAGCAGGGTGGCCATGATGAAATTCCAGTCGGAGAGCCTCTGCCCAACACCAGCTCCGAGTCTCTGTCCACCTGACTACCATCTCCACCCTGAAAACCCAGCTATCCACAGGAGACCCTCAGATACAAGCACTGCTTGGGGCCAGAGCCTGGCCAAACCCTCCTCTCCCCACCCTTGGCCTACTTCCATCCTTAGTCAGAGATGGGTCACAGCATGAGACCGCCTGGGGAGGAAACGATAGGACAGCAAGGGCTGTCCTCAGGGCCACGTGTGCCAGGGGCCTGAAGTCTGCAGACTGCAGGATGTGTCCCCTCCACAGGGCAACCACTTGCATGGTGGGAAGATGATACCCTGGCTCCTGGAGGACTGCCTCTCCAGTCCAGAGGGAGGTGGGGCCACACAGGACACAGGTGCAGAGCCAGTGGAGGACCGTGCTGACCTAGGAGCTGCAGTTTTAATGGCTTGTTTTTGCCCGAGGAGCAGAACAGTCCAGCACCCTAATCCAGCAGCTCTGTGACGATTCTTCTGGTTTGGTTCCCAGCACACCCCAGGCAGCAGACGCCTCCCAGGTCAGGAGCTCAGGGTTATCACCTCCTACACGCCTCCTCGTCACACTGCAAGGACAGCAGGGGTCCTGTCAGGCCAGCCACATTCCCCGGGTGCCAAGAACAGTGGGGCTCACCCACCCACATACAGAAAGGGGCATACTTAAGGCAGGAGGCCACCCACCTGAACAGCACTCACTCCCCTCCACCTGGGGCACAGGAAGCTGGCCACCAAGACCACATTATGACCAACAGAGGAGCCTTGGGAAAACCCAAGCCCTCCCCAGCCTCCAAGGCTCAAAAAAGAGCCCTTTCTCTGCCCTAGAGCCACCACCCATAGGGGTGGGTCCAGATATGCCTGTCCACCTAGTCATACTGCCCCTCAGTCCCTTACACTCTGATCCCTTCTGCAAGTGGGGTCACAATGACATAAATCCTGGGATACCATGAGCAAGAAAAAACATAAATCCCCAGAGGCTGCAGCTCAGCACTTGGCCGTGCCAGTGCTGGCCCAGGGGAGGGGTGTGCTGTGTGCAGCAGGCAGGCCTCGGCTCACCTGAGGGGGTTCGCTGGTGAAGGTCTCTGCAGAGATGCCCAGAGCCTGCAGGATGCTCTCCTGGGGGACATAATCACCTGGGGACTTCTGGACAAAATGCAGCAGAACTTTGTCACCACCTATAAAAGCAGATCGATGGTCAGGGCACACTGGGAGGCCACCTGAACCTTGCACTCATGTGACAGGAGACCAGCTGACCCTGGCAACCCTGGCCAGTCACAACCTCCACCTAGTTAGAGAGACAAGAAAGCTGTTCTGCCCACAGCCCACCCTGCCAAGCCAACACTGAAGGCCAGAACATACCACGGGGAGGAACTGGGGCAGACGGAAAGCCAAAAACAGCCACCCAGTTCCCCAGGCCTTCCCACTGAGAACGTGGCCTGGAGCCCCCCGAGCCCACCTTTGCTGACTACCAGCAGCCCTCCACTCTGCAGCAGGTCTCCAGACAGGTTCCCCTGGATGCCAACAGCCTTGGCCTGGAGGGAAAAGAACAGGCTGAAGTCAGTCCCAGAGGGAGGAACTGCCCCTACTCCTGCTGACCTTGGCCATCACAGTACCTTGGCAGCGACATCCCGCACAGGCTTCCCCAGAGCAGCTGGAAGGATGCTCAAGCTATTGTACCTGCAAACACACAGCCTGCTAGCCCAGACTCTGGTGGAGCCCGAGCCCCAGACCCCACCCTCCGGTCCTCCAGCAGATGCACAGACCAGCTCTGGCTCAAGCTCTGCCCTGCCCACTCATCTCACCAGAGGCTCAGAGATGGCACAAGGCAATCAGATCAGCAGCCACCCCAGCCAGGAGCAGCTACTGGAGCCCTAGGACACCCAGCCTGGGGACAGTTGGCCTGGAGCCCCACCAAGGGTGTGAAGCGTGGGGACCAGGCCCCAAGCTGAGCATGCCCAACAATCTGCTCAGCTGGCCCTGCCAGTCAGGGCAGGCAGGCAGCCTGTGGCACCAGAAGGCTGGGATGGCCCCTGATGGAGGCACTGGACTCCAAAACCCTCTCTGGCAGTCTGGACACTGCAGCCTGCTAAAGGCAGGCCTAGGTGAGAAGCCTGTCACAGAACAAGTAACACCCCAGAAACAGGCTGACGGAGGAGCTGGCTGGAGCTGCGAGTGCTAACAGAGCCAGCCTACTGAGGGCAGAGCCAGTAGAGGGCAACAGGAATAAGGGGGCAATGCACACCCTGGACCCCAACATACTTACCGCTTAAAGCCCAGCTCCTTGTAGAACTGCTTGCTCTCATCCAGGTAAAGCTCTGGAAAGGAAAGCACAGGTGTGTGTACCAGGCCCCATGCTGGCCCCACTCAGGTTCACCCTCCTACATCCTGTCCTGTCTCCTGACCAATTACCGTGCCCAGCTCATCCATCCTGGGTCAGGAGGGACAAGGTAAGGTGAGTTCCCCATTGTTGAGAAGAGGGACTGAGATAAAGAAGTGACCGGTGGAATTGGAAGGCCAGGAATGCAAGGGCACAACAGGGGGACCAGGATGCCGCAGGAGTACGAGGACTCCGACACGAGAGCACCTCCAGGCCAGGGCTGGGCAGAGCGACAGCCAAACACCCAGAGTTGGGGAAGGGTCGCACCTCCGGAAAAGTAACCACCATCCAGGAACTCCTGTAGGCCCAGGGTCTCCGGCCCGACGCCCAGCAGGCGCACGCCATGCTGGTCCAAGACACCCTGGAGGTTGCTGAGGTCCCGGGCGATCCAGCGGCACACCATGCAGCCGAAGCGCCGCAGCCCGGCCACCACGCACGCCTGCTCCTGCCACAGGCTCCGCAGCTCCACGGCCTGCGGGGCCGTAAGGTCAAGAAGCGCCGGACCGACGCCCACACCCACGCCCCGCCAGCCCAGCCAGCGCCCCCCAAAGACCCCCACCCGCAGCCTCGAGCCATGCCAGGGCGCGCAGCAGGAACCGGGGATCCGCGGCAGGATCCGACGCCCACTGCCCGGCGCTCACCTCCCCAGTCACTGCATGTTTCAGGACACAGGCGCCCACGCGGGAAAGGTCCACAGGACTCATGGCCACGGCCGAGCTCCGAAGCGCCAGGTCCTGGCGCCGCGATCCTCTCCCACTGCGGCTGCGCCTAGGGTAGAGCGCCGGGTCCCGGTACCGCCTCCGCCCTGCGACCCGGTTCCGCCCGGACCGCCCCTAGCACCGCCCCTAGCACCGCCCCTAGCACCGCCCCTAGCACCGTCCCTGGTTCCGGGCCCAAAGCCGAAGCCTGGTCAGGACGGGATCACTTCGTTTACATATGCATAAGCCCGCTGACCAATGGCGACCAATGGCGGAGCTTGTCAGTCTTCCACACCCGGTGCGCCTGCGCAGAGAGCGGCGGCGCGGCCCTGTGGGGGCGGGGATGGGGTGGGACCGCGGGGAGAAGGGCGGGGAGGCGGAGCCAAGGGCGGGGAGGTGGAGAGGAGGGCGGGGGAGGGCGGAGGAGGGCGGAGGAGGGCGGAGGGCGGCGGAGGGCGGAGGGCGGGGGAGGGCGGAGGGCGGGGGAGGGCGGAGGGCGGGGGAGGGCGGAGGGCGGGGGAGGGCGGAGGGCGGAGGGCGGGGGAGGGCGGAGGGCGGGGGAGGGCGGAGGGCGGGGGAGGGCGGAGGGCGGGGGAGGGCGGAGGGCGGGGGAGGGCGGAGGGCGGGGGAGGGCGGAGGGCGGGGGAGGGCGGAGGGCGGGGGAGGGCGGAGGGCGGGGGAGGGCGGAGGGCGGGGGAGGGCGGAGGGCGGGGGAGGGCGGAGGGCGGGGGAGGGCGGAGGGCGGAGGACGCGGAGCCGAGCAGGTGAGTGGACTTGGAGCCTGGGCACAGGAATCCTCCCAAGGAAATAAAGAACACAAAGAAGCAGTTAGAAGCCGGTCTTCTTCACTCCGCTGGACAAAGAATAGGAAGTTGGGAAGAGGTTAACTAAATTGAGGGTAGGGAGAAGGTCAGAGGGTTTGCTTGTTTTTGAGACAGGGTCTGGCTAAGTTTCTTAGGGCCTCGATAAATTGCTGAATGAGGCTGGCACGAACTTGCGATCCTCTTGCCTCAGCCTCCTGAGCTGGGATTACAGGCCAGAAAGTAGTTGTTTTAACAAAGCCAGTGCAGAATTCTTGCGATGGCTGCAGCTTCTCGTTGAATGAAGATAAGGATGTTGCTTTTACTTCCAGTGGGCCGGGGAGGGAGGAACTTCACGTGGTAAACTCTCCATCTGTTTGGTTTCTTGTTGTTTTCCTTTTTAGGTGAGCGCCAGGACCTGGCGCTTGGGAGTCGGGACTGGTGCATGCAAAGCAAGTGCTCTGCCACTGAGCCACAGCCCTAGTCTCATTTTCTGCTTTTAAGAAACAGAAAGGGGGTCAGAACAGTCTTCTGTGTATGCTGGAGGGCCATGTCCTGAACTCCATTCTTATGTGGCACAAAACTGGAGGTAAACATACAGATGCATTTGCCTTTATCTGAGTAGGGCAGACATCCTCAGAGGACAGCTCCTACCGTCTGTTTATAGACTCCGTCCATCCACAGCTTGCTGGTCAGCTTTGCTGGGTTTGCTGCAGGTACAAATGAGCCCCAAGCCCCAGCCGATCAGCTGTGTTTGACCCCTGCTTATGTGTCCTGTTGGCACAGTGTGGCTGTGCTCTTCACGCCACCCTCATTCTGGGACCCAGGCTGAGTCAGCCGTGGCCATCTGGAACGCGCCAATCTCCAGACAGGCAGGTGAGGGCAGGAGACAGAGGTCATGTCATGGCTCTTACAGCCACACAGATCTGCGGCAGGTCACTTCTGCTCATGGGCTGCTAGCCAGAGCTCGTTGTGTGTCTTGGAGGGTGTCAGGGGCACCTCCACAGGGCACTGTCAGGTCTAAGAATAAGCTGGCCTGCTGTGGCACGGATGCTGGCAGGAGACCCACGACTCCTGGGTCAGAGACAGAGGACTCGACTCCTCACGGCAGTGCAGATCACATGGGCCATTGTGTGTCGCCCCACGTTCCAGGGCCTGGTGGGGCTGCGCACACGGTAGGCATCCTTGCTGCTGGGGGGCCCTGAGCTGGGGGAGTCCAGTGTCCCTGGAACTGCATTGAGCTTGCTGCTCTTCCCCTCAAGGGTTTTCAGGACAAACTCAACGCTGAGCAGCTGCTGGGTGGACAGTGTGGAGGGCTTTCCATTACTGACACCCTCAGCAGTGTGTGGGGACCCAAGAGGGCCCTCAGACAAGTGACCCTTCAGGATGAGCTCACACTGGAATGACAGCCCAGTCTGCCCGCTGTCGGATGTTTGACAAGAGTGGTCTCAGGTGGCCAGCCCTGAGCCCGTTCCTGCCACTCACCCTGAGTATATTTGGGGTGCCTTATAAGCAACAGACACTTTTCTCCTCAGTTCTGGAGGCTGCAAGATTTAAGGACAAGGTGCCAGCAGATTTGGTGTCTGGTGAGGGCCTGTGTCTGGTTCACAGACCGCCCCTCACAGGGTGGACAGAGGGAGAAGAGTCTCTCAGGGGCTCTGAAGTAAAGGCAGTGATCCCATTCGTTCCAAAGGCCCCTCCTAACACCATCACACTGGAGGGGGGACAAATAGTGGTAATTGGGTACAGTTACAGCATGGGGGCCAGCAGTGCCATGGTTGGCATCTTGCTCCGTTGGGAACTGGGTTGCCATTATGTCACAACGATGCTGTCTCATCTCCTCCTCTTCTTCTTCCTTATTCTGAGAAGCCATAAATAAACAAATGAATACGTTGGGTCCCAGTGCAACAGGAAGTCCTCATCTGCTTTTCTGTGAACAGGGTGAGCTATCTTCCCATGTTTGCCTCACACTGTGGTTTGGCTTCCTTTTCTTTGATTGCTGTACTTGGCTTCCTGCCTCCCCAAATGTCACCTCTCTGCTCTTGCTCCAAGTTCTGCAAACACTGGGAAAGTTCTGCCCAGGACACAGATGCGTATATGTGCCTGAGGAAGGGTCATTGATGTGGTGGGGATCTCTGGACCCAAGACAGGTCCTGCTGAGTCACATTGGATGGGCCCCCTGTACCTGAGTCTCAGACCCTGATGTCCACCTTTGCTGACCACACAGTATGTCCTCAGCCTCTGGGAGCATGCTCTCCACATCCTGGGAAGCAGGGACCCCAGTTTACCTGTGGGCTGGAAGATGCTGAGGCCTGCAGCTCCGTCCCAAGTGGACCCTGCACATGCCATCCTGCCTGACCCTTCCAGCAAGGCCTGAGATGTGCACCAGGAGAAGCGAGCCTCAGGCAATGACTGCAGAGCCCCTGGTAAAGGACAGCTGACTTTGCCCAGTCCTGCAGTACACACACTGCCCGTGAGCTTGGGGGTACCGGTGGCTCAGGGGTAGAACACTTGCTTGGCATCCTGTGCACAAAGCCCTGGGTTTAATCCCTAACACGCGGACCCCATTGCTTCCAGGGCAGACTGCCAGCCCTGACCCAGTGTGCCTCATTCCCTCCAGAGCAGCTCAGCACTCACCCTGCCTGGGGGCTGCCCCCCGGCACTGCTGCAGGACTGACCCTCTTGGGTCAGACTCTCTGAAAGCAGAATGGGGTCGGGGGCTCGCAGGTCACTCAAACTGCGCCAAATGAATATCAAAAACTGAATCCACATCCAGTGCACTGTCCACACGCAGACCTTCAGACATCTCAACCTCACAGCAGCACCACCTGTCCCCTGCAGAGCCGGTCCTTTGCCACAGCACTCGGGGGTGGACCTGCAGGGTGCCTCCTCCGCTGTGATGGTGCATCCCACACAAGCGTGGAGATCCACAATGTCCCCCTGAGGGCCCTGCTCCTCAAATGGCGGGTGGACCCACAGGGTCCTGCCTGTATTTTTCCAAAGGGGCACTGTGCCCTCTTCACCTCTGGGAAGAGGAGGTTAAAAATCAAATGTACCGCAAGCATCTGGGGACTCTCCATACCTTCTGCTCAATTTTACTCTAAACCAAACTACTCTAAAAAATAAAGTCCAAATACATCTGGGTTGTCATCAGCCTGTCACAAGCAGGGGGGCAAAGCCCAGGCTCTGCCAAAGAAAGGTGTTGTGCCAAGGTGGCCCCTGCAGCAGGACAAGGACCATGCCTGCTGCTTCCCTGCATGGGCAAGAAGCCCCTCAGTGGCCGTGATGGCCAGGGCCCCTGAGCTGAGGCTCAGTTTCCCACCAGGAAGCGGTCACTAGTTCAGCGGGAATGTTGGACCCCCCCAACGCCCGTGAGCGCTTACAAGCTCTGCGGCGTCTGGGTACCAAGTGCACAGCTCCACAGCTGTGCGTCTGGGATCCTTCAACCCCGTCTTCGCCTCTTTATCTCTTCACTGCCCATTTTTGCCCAAACTCTCTCAACCTAATAACAATCAGGGAAGGATTTTCCAAAGAATAATAACACGTATCTGGGATTAATGGAGCGTTGCAACAGGAACTCGAATGTCACAATGAGCTCCAGCCTGTTCAGAAGGCTGAGGCAAGGGGACACTTTTGAAGGCAAAATGTGGAGGGTGACTTAAGATACGTTGAAACAATAATCCTCAGCCACCAGCATGAGTAACAAGGGTGAGGCTGACCAGGGACTGGATGGGCAGTTGCCAGGGAAGACTGCCCCACAGAAGACAGCGGCGGGGCCTCTAAGCGACGGGCCCTCTCTGTAGGGCCACTTAGGCAGAGCCTACGCCAGGGGACGGGTTTCTGTGTGAGGGACACACAAGGGGCCCGCCCGCCCGGCAAGGCTGTAGGTGGTGGCAGTCTGGTAATCCTGCTGAGATCTGCTCCTGACAGTCTCCCAGCTTTACTTATTTCTGGCTCAAGTTCACCCTGAGAGCCCACCAGGAATAGGAGCAGAGAGCTAGGAACAGTGGACTCCCCCAGCTCAGGGTCTCAGCGGCAAAGACTCCTGCTGTGTGCAGTCCGCAAGGTGCCAGCATGGCCCAGGAACCCCGAGAGGGCACCGGGGCTCCTTGGTCCGTGTGTGTATGTTGGCAGGTGAGATGAGACCTCTTTCCCCACAGCTGGAGAGGAGACTGGTCAGGGCAATGCTTCAGGGATACAGTGGGATGGAGGCAATGAGGGGAGAGGCCCTAACCCACAGCCCCACCCTGGAGGTCCCACCTTCCAGCCATGCCCCCAGCCATCTTTCCCTGGTGGACTCCTG